AGCAATCTTAGTTAATTACACTTATTCTGAAATATGCAAAATCCTGGAAACGAAATTGTTTGAAAATATGTATTTTGGTATGTCTCGAGTCAAATGATTGTCGAGACACAGCAAAGCTTTAACTAGAATCATAAATTTCACAGCCGCGAAAACACAGTGATTGCAACTACGTAGCGGCGATGTGGAATCTGTATATATTGCCGTCCACTTGGCATGTGATAGATAATGCGGGTGGTGATAAGACCGATGTGCTGATAAGATGTAATTATAGTAAACGCAGACAGACAAACGTGCAAACACACTTTTGTAAATGTTTGTACATATAAATGTAACTACAACAATCAAGGTAGAAGTACATTGTAGCGCCAGCGAGGTTTATATGCGCGGCATACGTACTAGATTAATATTCGAAACTCTACAAATAACGGACAAAATTTACCGAAAACCAGCGCTAAGTAATGGACCAATAGTTCTATCTAACCGCTCCAATGCTTATTACAACTTACAAATTCGCAGTACTCTCAGTTTTTTAGAGCTTCTAACAACGTTGCATATTGTTTACATATTCACAAACCATACCTCATAGGGAGTACAAAGCTATAATATGATAGAAATCACATATAAAATACAATTTGTGATAAAAATTATAATACGACCTTGGCTACCTATCGGTTTCTTTCTACATATTTAGTCCCCTTACCCTTAGTTACTTTCGATTTCCACTCACCTCTTATTGACACTATCTATGGCATATAATATAATATATGCATACTTGTATATCTGTTCCGCACCTTGTATAACGGTAACGAAAATGACATTGCAAAGCAGGTGTCCCCCGGGTATAATATTGCTATTCTATTTAATGTTGTTGTGGCTAATGCACACGCGGTTTTTGTTTTGAACACAGCGTTATAGCACATACAAGTACATAGGCAAATCAAAAATAAATACTTAATGTGCCCGTATAAATACTCGTAAAATTTGTGAGAAAAACAAACATCGATAAATGACCTTGTCAAAAGTGGGAAAAAAAGAAAAAATGTGAATATTGAGTCTGACTGGCACGGAAATTAATGAATTTTAAATGAAATTTTAGATAAACAGAAAAAGATCAAAAAACGCAACATAAAAAACAAATAAACAAGTGACAAATAATGACAACAATTTAGTGGAACATTAGAAAAGTGAAAACTTCACATCACTAAGCAGCAGCCGAGGCGTAATGTGAAAACAAATAGCAAAACAACAACTACAAAAACAACACAAAAATTAAAACTATAAACCGCACATTAAACTGCAGTGTTTGAGGTCAGCCAAACAACAAGTGTTAGCCGCATGCCACCGGAGCCAACAACAAGAACAACAACAACACAACAAAACTCAGCAACTAACTTGAAGCTTGCCAATACACGAATTTACCAACTTTCCGCCGCTAACTTTCCAGGCCGCCCATCAAACTAGCACAACAGTGAGTGCGTCGCACGAGTACTCGCACCTAATCGCAATCCCATTAGTGGGCACAGACTACAACAATGTTTATTTCGTATCTGAACTGCGAAGGCGACAGCGAGAGTAGCCACAGCGACACGATGTCCGTGGAGCAACTGTTGCACGCGGTACGTGAACAAACCGAGTCCGAGGAGGAGAGTAGCGGCGATGACGACGACGCCGATGACAATGGTGATGGTGGTGATGATGGTGGAGGTCGGTGTAAGGACGCAGGCGATGGCAGTGAGTCTGAATCGAGTCATACTGTCGATTCAACGACCAGCGGTGCGCCGCTCCTTCGCCGCTTCCGACGCTCGTCCATTGGCATGCAGCGCAAGGCAGCATTTCGTCAACGGAAAATGGATTCGTTGGGCACGTGGCGGAAGCGGTAAGTGAGATCGATATGAAGCGGAAGGAAGTATTCGCATACGTGCATGGAATATGTGCGCGAGAGCGAGCAAACATATGTGTTTGTGACAGGTGCGAGTATAACTACTGCATGATGCTAGCTTTTGGATATTAAGACTATTTGTCAATGCAAAATCATTAACAAAATATGCACAGCGTAAGATAAAACCTCTGTCATGGCCGGAAATTTTTAAATTAAATTTATTACTAACTTTCAAAAAGGCTTACGGAAATTCAATTTTGCAACTATAATAGAATAAATACAAGTATTAACCGTTGTTCAAGGTGTGTGATTCTGCTTTTTGCAACTCATCTCTGGACATTGGAAAACATTTAAATAAGGAAAATCTGTGCCGAAGTGCATAGCTTAATGTAAAGAGAACCCATTTTTAGATAATTATTTGCGGCAAACATAGAAGTGTCCTCTTATAATTTTGTTACCATTTTAAACAATTGTGTTATAAACAATTTTTCCACATACTATCCCTCTTCGCCTTCGATCTTTTAATTCTATCTCCGAGTCCTTTTTTGGGGGTCAAAATTAGCCATGCTCAAAGAAGCTATTGGTGGTGCTAAAATTGATTATTGGCGATGACGAGGCCCGTAATCCTCGCTGATTGCAGTAGTTTTCCGTATCCTCTCGTAGTCATCTACCAGTGCTTTCCAGGTAGTTTTTATAAACATTATATGAGCATAAAGAAATGAAAATATGGAGCTTCTTCATACAGTTAGACATCGTCCCTCACAATGCTTCTCATCTATTCCAATCCTGAAGGAGTAAAGTATCTATTAAAGCTCGACCACTGTGTTCAAATTGACGGTGTTAGAATGGATTCTAAAATATATGTTGACTCATATCATTAATATCTTTATTATCGTCTATGGAAAACTAATTTTGAAAGTAGATAGTAATACAACAACTTAATCTCCTCAAAAGTGCTACAAAATTATTTACACGACACAAAGTTCCTTCTAGAGGAGAGTGGGACTACAAAAATATAAACGATTTTACTACTGCTAAAACACTTTGCCCTCTCACTCACAGAAAAACTACGAAATACCGGAAAACATTGAAAACATAACTAATCCAACATCCTCCCCTCTCAATCAATTTTACTCAACGTGAATGAGAAAAAAGTGTCAAATTTATGCAAATCTCATGAAGAAATGTCTGTCAACTTGTTGTTGTTGAGATGCACGACAGCGCAAATACTCCTGCATTCTCATACCCACTAAAATAGTGCACAAAGGCGAATAAAAAACGGTGACGAGAACACAAGTAGAAACCGTTTTTGTCAAATCGCATTATTGCAAAGCCCAAGCTATATTTGTGCTAAACAAAAACGGCACGCACACACATACACCGAAACGCATACAAACACGCGGTGACGGCGGAAAAACGTTAGCAATACGATGACTGCTGCCGTCGCCGGTGCTGGTGACGATAACTGGCAACATCAACAATAACAAGAGAACATACAAACCAACAATGACGAACCACCTGCACCCTCAGCCATGCACACCTTCACAGGCAACAATGGCAGGGCGCAAGGCTGCAGGTTGCATTGCCAACCCACATTTACTATGCGAGTGTGTGTGTGTGCTTGCGCACCCTTTGACGCACACAAATACATCAAAAACACTCCACTGAAAGGCAACTGCTTTCGCCGGCTGTCCGGCTTACCCCTTTGCCCAATGTTCAGTTGTTCGGTTGTCCAACTGTCCATCTCAGTGTCCCATTTGCGTGTCACCCATGAAAGTGGCTCATGTTTCGTATCACATTTCAGCGGCTCTGTCATGGCAATGCTAGCATTATTGCGTTCTCTGTTTATTATTTTCCTTTTATGCAACTTTTAATTTTCACTTTGCCTCCATAAACGACAAAATGTCATCCTGCGGGCATAAGCGATGAGATTTTTGTTATTTTTATTGTTATTTGCTCATAATATAATAATGATATTTAGTGATGCAATTAAAGTTATACAGAATATAGCGTATAAGTTTGTGTCGATTTAGAAATAAGTAATAAGTAAATAGTTCCTATTTGCTTTGAAATTGCATTCAATTAAAGAATTTTCATTATTAATTTAAATTAACTACTACCTTATTACTATATTATTTACCTCTTAATTGACGGTATGCATAGCTACGAGAGCAACACATGAGATCCGTTGAATTGTGTTCTCAGTAAAGTTCGTTCAGACCCAGTTATAGGGGTTTCAACCAATAAGTATACATGAAGCAAGACTCAAAATTTTGAGGAATGACATTTGTCAAAGTTGTCTGCAAGTAAGCGAGATAGAAAAATTTTGATACTTTTTCCTCGACTGTCCAGCTTTCTGTACCCTGAGGTTGAAACAACTTAAATGTCTTTTCCGGCTGAACCGGCTGGAATCCAAATTAGACGCCTCGGCTCAAAGCTTCTCATCAATACATAAGGGTCTCCTGACGAATACCTCCGATTTTGTGACAACTCAAAGAACTGGTGTTTCAACTGTTCTAACCATTAATAGTCCTCTTTGCAGGCAGCTCACGGCCTAAAATTTTGTTGTAGTCAATTTTCATCGACAAATCAGTGTATCTTAATGTATTGAATGCATTCGTGAGGAAAAGCATTTTACGAATCGACTCTCCACGGTCGTCGTGTACACTCTCAGCTACGGCCGCTATATTTTCTTCACTGCGTGCTGGACGTAGTCTATTCGGTCGAATAATATCCAATAATGAATGCAGAGTCTCAAGATGGGTGATGGTGTTGCGAATCTTTCTCGAAAGAGCAAATTTAGATTATAACAACTATTGCAGTAAGCAAACAATCTAACATTTGAGTTTAATTGCCTATTTACAGGCGCTCTATCGTCACACACATATGCGCATAGATATGAACACAGATAAACACATAATATTTTGGGCAAATTTCCAGCACTTTTGTAGAAATGTTTACTTGCGGCATCTTTAAGGCTGAAAGGCCGCACGAAAAACGCAGTCTCCTTGTAACATTCTTGTCGAACTATTTTTGGGTGTTTCAAGCAGTCACAATGTAGCTAAGCAATTACATTATTCAAATATTTTCTTTTCATTGTTTCTTTTTTTTCCCATTGTAGACGTTCTGCGTCGGCGAGTAATGCCCGACGGCCAATTCGGATTGTACCCGACTGGACCGAAAACGCGGTGCAGGGAGAACACTTCTGGAAACCCACGTCGGCGTCCGGCGATCTTTGCTGCTTGAACGAGGAGTGCATTGTGAGTATTTCAACTCATATACACACCGATACACATACATACACGTGAATATTTCAATTATCATGCATATAAAAATAAAGCATAATGGTGTTTTAATTTCATTAAAAAAAATACGAAAAATAAGCAACGCAATTTGCCGACAGTAGCGCTAATTAGGCTGAGAGCGTTAAATTTAATTAATTGAAATGCTTGTAGAGTGCGAATTCCCGCGCAGACTGTTTGAGCGCATCGCGCAAAACACTTTAAATCAATTACAAAATTGTTGCGTGTAATTCATGTATTGCATGCTTAACGCACATTACGATATCGCGCACACGCACATTTTGACGCTTGTACACACACGTGAGCACTCGGCCACGCTTTCATTTGCTGAATATGCGAAACTTTCGTTAAAGGTTGTGCGCTTGTGTGTGTGAGTGTGTGACTTTGCTCATACATTAGGATATTTTAAACGTACCTTATATGTGCATATGTATTTATGCCAGTATGCGTGCGTGTAAGTGCTCGTACACATGCTAATTGTTATTATCAATGAGTATCACACATTCACGGCAACGAGCGCTCTTTTCACTTCGTATATACTCATAATCATCATTATTACAACAAATTATATTCTCATGCGGCAAATTTGCTCACGCACGAAACAAAAAGAAGACATACATGTGAGCTCACATTCATACATACATATCTACATGTAACAGTATATATTAGCAGACACATACTTACAAATTTATTACAGTGATATTTTAAGTGGTAAAAGTATAAGTTACCTATTTATCAGGTCTATCTACTACTCAAACGTTTAAAATTAGTAAAATATAGTCTGCTCGCATCCTTTAGGTAAGGTAAATATTTACGTATTATATACATATACTTGTATACCCCTTACCTTAGGTCGTGGGTTTAAACTTCGACCGAGATAAATTTTTGAAATTATGGATACATTTTGGCATACAGGCAGTGGTTTTTATTATTTTAGCACAAAAAAAAACCATTCCATTCAAGGCGGTTAATTTTATGAATAATGTTTATATTTGTTGAATTTGTTTACTTTAAAAATCTTGAAATATTAACGAAAACTACTCAACCCTCAAATTTGACATAGTATACTTTGGTAAATTTAATATTATTCTCGTCCATCTCTTCAAGTGAAATCTAATCGAAATGTTAAGTTTCCAAAAATCCTAAATAGTCGTTTACCGCTTAGCACCTTGCCGCTCCTAGAAGCTTATAAAGTAGGTGATAAAAAAATAATTTTCAGCTGCAGAAAGAAAAGTAAACAGTTCTACATACCCATTTAATGTATATAGTGTCAGAAAACGGCCATTTATCAAAAAATCAACTTATTTTAATTTTTTGCCAAGCTGAAAGATGCATGTTCAAAAATACGTTTTATAAGAGTAAGACGAATGTTTTTTCGCCAAAAAATATTATTTACTGGGTGAAGGGTTTCAATTTTCACAACAAAAAAATCAAAAAAAAAGGAAAGTGTGGAATATCTTAGAAATAGAATATAAGGATAATAAACTGATGAAACACCATTTTACACTCCTAAACACAGTTAATGACTTCTTCTCTCTGAGAAAGTGGTCCAGTGAAGGATTTTTTTTACCCAAAATTTTAATCAGTTTTAACCATACGAAACAGGCAGAAAAGTTGATAGTGATATTAACTACTATTTCGGTGTAATCATTCATTTTAAATGTAAACTGATTGAACTGAGCGGCTATACTTTAGATGGCTGTAAGGCAAGATATCAATCAAAAATTTTAGTATGCTATTTTTGAACGTATAGACTATCGATATATGCAAGAATAAAAAATTTAATTTTTTCGAAATTTCATATTAGGTGTGCCCCTTGACGACGACCTAGAGTTAGGCATTTCGTAATTCGCTTTAAACAATTAAATTTAATCAAAACTTGTCCTCTGTGCAGCAAGTATCCAAACTTCAATTTCAAGTTCTTCCAATAACTTTTTTTTAATTATTTCAATTTAAAACAAAATAAAAATTTAATTAGTTTGTTAAAATACCTGCTTTCGATTGTAAGCTTCCTTATTTACCATGTAAATTGAATTTTTTACTATTATTTTTTTGGTAAATTATATGTTAAATCATGCTCAAATGATCATGTTAAATATTGCCATTACTCATTTCCATTCGCTCTCAAACTTCTATTTATATATACTTATACATATATAATAATTCTGTATTAAAGAATTAAAACACCATGAAATTGCTTTAAGCAGCTAATTATCGTGTAATGTAAATTTTTGGCGGTTAAAAATCAACTCATCGATTTCAAAACCTTTTCACATTCATTTATTTACCACACATACGCGCACACACATATATATGCATTGACGTGTATTTAATATATCAACATTAAAGCGTGACATTTCATTTACAGTATTCATTTAATATAATATTATTATTATTAATATGTTTTCCTTTTTGAATAACAGAAAAGTGGTCAACGCATGAAGTGCTCGGCTTGCCAATTAATTGCGCATCAAAATTGCATTCCAATCGTCAATGAAAAGACTCAATTAGCGTGTAAGCCGACATTTCGGGACGTGGGCGTAAGACAATACCGGGAGCAGTCCACAACGCATCATCACTGGGTTCATCGCAAAATGGAGAAGGGCAAGTGCAAGCAGTGCGGAAAGGTGAGTGCAATCATCGGATATATAGATTTAATTAAATTCACAAACACACACTTACCAACAAACCATATATGAGTATGTAAAGTCATGAAATATTTACGAGTAACGAGCTCAAAAGCTTTTAAGCGAAATAATTAATTTAAAATAGCAAATTAATTCCAGGGCAATTAATAATCTCTAGCTAAATTCAAGTATTTCTCAATATTATACTAGAATTAGCAAACCAAGAGCTAAGTATATTTATTACTACTTATTACTACAACTTGCATAGATATACACATATCTTTCGCCTTACGAAATGCTCCTTGTCCATGGCGTCTCTGCACGTACGTCGGATTGCATGGAATTTCATAATAAACGCCCCATTAATGGCATCGATACCATCATAAATAGCATATCGAATAATAATGCAGAACAGGTAGTACAAAATTTAAGACAACAGCAACAACAAAATCAGATTTACATTGTACATGCAACCAAAGCGACCAGGGACATAGCCATAACTCGGTGTATTGGAAAAGCTGGCACATCCATGCTGTCCGACCTTTTGTACCATAGTGCCGATTAAACATGTCTGGTAGAAGCAACAAAAGCAACTAGGGCAACTTGCGGCATAGTACAGAAATCCTGGAGGGACATGCAGCAACTTACACAGTAGGAATTGAAACAAGAAGAAGAATGCCAAAGGGAATAAGTGGCTAACACCAACAGCTGACGGCTGAATGCGGTTAGGAAAATGAAAACATGCATACAAAAACGTAGCATAACAACGTTTGTGAAAATTATTTCTGACAAAGAATGTGCTAATCTTCTGTAGCGGTGTTGTTTTAGAATTTTAAATATTTTAAATTTAATTTAGAGTTTTTATAAAATAATATATATATACTTATAATTTTTATGAAACAGAGTTGCGCTCGCTAGCGTTTAGTAGCTTTATAATACTGCATTTAGCAGGACTTTAACGCACCTCGCTTTTACTAAAACCCTTCATGCAACAATACACAATCGACACCCTTTCAATTCAAGCAGAATAAGCACGTTTGGTTTTGGTGAACAGAAAGTGCTCAAGAGCAAAGCGTCTTCTTTGAACAATTCCGCGATCATCTGTTTGTTGTTGCAAAATCATAGATTAAGAATATGGTTGTGTACCGTGGTTGTGCTGCCGAGAAACGTAATTTTCATTTGGACTACATAGTTGTGCAATTTACGACGCGTCTTAGTTTCATTATATAGAATGGTTTCAAACAAAAAATGAACGAAAAGCCCTGCCATGCGACCATAAAAAGCTGCAAGATAGTAAACTCGAAGTTTATGACATGTTGGGTCTTACCTTCTTTTCTATTATAATTGAGCCATTTTTAAGGCTTCGATAGCAAGAAATTCATAACAATTCCAGTATGTAAAAACTATAATAAGTACCACAAAGCAAAATAGTTGCTACTGACACTACTTACATTAAGATCAGAAAGTCTCCGGAAATTGTAAATAAAACGCAAAATTTTTAATTTTCATCAATATTTATTTTTTTGCCTTCAAAATAACGATTTACCAATCATCGAAACATGCTTTGTAGATCCGGCTTTTAGTTCCCTCTGCGAATTTTCTTTTACGGTCTCAATTGCGTCGAAACGGGTTCCACGGAGTGGTAACTTGAGCCGTCGTAAACGGCCGAAATTGTGGGCTAATAACTTCCGGAAATTTTCTGTTCTTAATGTATAACAGGATTCTAAAAGGCTGACAACTCACGATTTCTTTACGCAATCTGACTTACACTTATATATTTTTTTTTGCTTTTGCAGGCTGTCCAGGGTAAACTATTTGGTTCCAAGGAGATAGTGGCACTGTCCTGCGCCTGGTGTCACGAGGTCTACCACAACAAGGAGTCCTGCTTTAATCAAGCCAAGATCGGTGAAGAGTGCACCTTGGGTAAGTTTTCAAAATCATTGAAATAAAAGAATGAAATTGAAGTACCAGGAATGGCACTAAACAAAAAGCTGGTGTTTTGTTGCCAAACGAATAATTGCTTGTAATTGCAGTTGATTAGAACTCATTTCTAAATCAAATTTACATTAAAAATACATTTAACAAAATTGCCAAGATATCGAAGTGCATTCCAGCTAAATCTGCGCTGCGTCACTTTCAAAAGTTTATGACACTTTTCCAGGAAGTGCTTGAGGATATACGAGAGTGCAGAGAAAATATTGTTGAGTGTTGCACTTAATGCATGGCTTGCGTGCTTGTGGGCCACTTTAAAATTCCACTTAATTACACAAATCCGACACCACGCACGCTGATGTAAACGAATGCGTGTGTGTGTGCGTGTACGTCTGTGTATGTATATATATAATATATAATATATAAGATATATATAAGACTGAAGCAAGACAAACTTATTCCATGTTAAACTTTGCTACGAAAGCGTGCATTGTGTTGCAAGTGTTGCACCGGAATTGGTCTGAAGAAACAAGAGCATATATGTGTGTATGTAGATATGTGGATATGTTAAATATAATTTTCTGAAAATCTTCCACCTCAGTGCGCGTTGAATCTATTTGCCTTTACTCAATCAGCACTGCAACTTAATGAGACAACTTTTCTATTCAATTGTGGTGAAATCAAGTGAATTGTTGCAGTTGCATACATATATTTATCATTATTTCCGATTGTTCACAATGTGCGAAGACAGTTTGTTTTCAATCCAATCCACAGATAATAAACTACACCGTTAGTAAGGGGTAAGAAGATATAATTTAACAATCGCAGATGCTGAATTAGTTAAATTATACAATGAACCCAACTCTTTTGAAAGATTTTAATCAAGTCAAAGCAATATAAATATAAGCCGTAAAAATTATTCGTCCGAAAGAATTATTTCTAATTTAAGTCACTCTAGACAGGAACCTATTTCCTTTAGGATACTTTAATTTTGAAATGTTACTCATACGCCACCGCTCTGAGTACTATAACAATATCGCTCCCTCTCATTTATCACTTTATCTATCACAATATAATTAAGTTAATGCACTTCATAAGTAATGGCGGATAGAAAATGAGTACATTAGCTATTTGAGCCCAATAACGGATGGTGCTCATACGCCATGGCGAGCCAATTAAAATTCAACTGCAGCTCAAACTGCTAATACATAGACATCCATCGTCGATTTATAAATATTTCACTATGTCATAAGGGTCAATTGTTACAAGGATACATGTGCCTGCTCAGGAGCAATGCTACTCAAATTTAAGCGCAGAACTCTTTTGAGTCCAATTTATTTATTATAATTTAACAAATATTGTATCGCTAGGAATGTTGAGTTTAGACGTTTCTCCAAAGGCCGCAAGCTAATCAAATAGAATGTCGGATTGAAATGGAATATACAGCTACGGATAAACTTAACTCTCTCCGCCGATGTTTAATCAAGTGTAAAGTACAGGAACTACCCGAATTGCTAATCAGAGCTTTACTACGGCGATTAAAATGAAATCATGCTTCGAAATTAATATGCGAGTCAAACCACTGCAACCAAATGCTGGAAGTTAAGATACATATAACTGTAAATTTCTCAGTCCAAATATGTATATCACTTTAAGCAAACCGCAGATGCAAGCCATTTTCATATTTCCCCCACGCTGCGATTGAACATTTAATGCATTCAATGCTTTGCATTGTTAGTTTGCTCCATGGTCATCGGTTCGCAATAGTCATTGGCCTGCTCACCACCCCCGTACGACGACTAAGCAGCTATGTCGTTTACCGTATAATAACCGTTACTTCAAGCTCAAACATTGGTAGCCGTAAATGCGTCCGCTAAACACGTACGAGAACACAGCAATGGCCGCACAACAAATCTTAAGAGCGGGCAAAATTGTGTGTGTGTTAGAGGCAAGAGTATTTGCCGGGGAGGTGTGCACAGGCAATTGCATATGTGTGTTCTTCAGCTTCGATTACACTCGGTGTCATCAGCAAACGAATCTGCTTAAAATTAGTACCAGCTTATCAGCCGCAGCAGGTGCGGCAAGGCGTTGAGGTGATGAGGGTGGTTACATAAGTATTTGCGGATATTTTCGATTGCATTTACAATTTGTAAAATACTCAGCTTTATTACTTTGCAGTGTGAAAATCTTTTTACCACATGCACACAATGCAATTGTGAGCGTTTTCTTGGGAAATTGGAAAATTTAGCTCCTTCGGTCCTCAGCTCGCACAAGCTAAGCACTGGCAAAGCAAAATCGTATAATGGAGGGAAAAAATGCTTCATCATTTTCGTCTTTGATTTGAAAGCGTGAAGTCAATACTTTTCGTTTAGACTGAACAGGGGGAGTTGAGCGTTTAACACTTCTTGCTGTAATCTGCACTGTGTTCAAAGAATACGTACTATAAAATTATATTGCTAGAACCCAATGAACAGTGATACACAAAACATCAGCTGTAGGACTTTTCCAAAAGTGTTCTTTGTTAACTGCGGAAAATATTTTTGAATCCGCCAACAGTTGTTATCTCACTTTCTTAGTAAATTTAGTACCAAAAACACCACACTTTATATATTACAGGAAATTACGCGCCAATTATCGTGCCACCTTCTTGGATCGTCAAGTTGCCTACTAAAGGTAATTTTAAATCATCCATACGAGTAAACAACAAGACCAATGTGACCATAGCGAGCAGTAAGAAGAAGGGTGCGAGTAAACGGCAAAAGCAAAAGGAAGAGAAGAAAGAACCGCGCGCTTTCATCGTGAAGCCCATACCATCGCCCGACGTAATACCTGTGATTGTGTTCATCAATCCCAAATCGGGCGGCAATCAAGGTGTCAAGCTGTTGGGTAAATTCCAACATCTACTAAACCCTCGACAAGTTTTCGATTTAACGCAAGGCGGTCCAAAGATGGGGTAAGTACACATCGATCTGCGGCCATTATTAGATATTGATTATTTATTTCTGCTTCGTTTAATCGTAGTTTGGAGCTATTCCGTAAAGCACCTAACTTGCGCGTGCTAGCGTGCGGCGGTGACGGTACTGTTGGTTGGATACTCTCTGTGCTGGACATGTTGAACCCACCTATAACACCGGCGCCAGCTGTTGGTGTGCTGCCCTTAGGTACTGGCAATGATCTCGCTCGTGCTCTCGGTTGGGGTGGTGTAAGTATGCCGCTATTTGTGCGCGCTAGACAAATATTTCGCTCTGACTTTGACAATTTAAACAAATGTTTCAACTTGCTCTCCCGTAGGGCTACACCGATGAGCCGGTCAGTAAGATATTACGCGAAATCGGCATGTCCCAGTGTGTGCTAATGGATCGCTGGCGTTTGAATGTTACGCCCAACCGTGAGGTGGAAGACGATAATGTCAACCGCAGCAAGGACAATGTTCCGTTAAATGTGATCAATAACTATTACTCCTTCGGCGTCGATGCACACATCGCACTTGAATTCCACGAGGCGCGCGAAGCTCATCCCGAGCGTTTCAACTCGCGTCTGCGCAACAAGATGTACTACGGTCAAATGGGCGGAAAAGATCTGATTTTGCGACAGTATCGGAATCTCTCACAGTGGGTGACGCTTGAGTGCGACGGCACGGATTTCACGGGTAAACTGCGTGACGCCGGCTGTCACGCAGTGCTATTTCTAAACATTGGCAGGTGAGTTCACAGCACTTTTCTCTACCAGCACCTCTTATGGTGCACATTGCATGCCATTAGTGGCACATTAAAGGTGTTATGGCTGCAAAACCAAATAAAAACAAATTCTTGATTTAAACGTTCCAACGAACGGTCATTTAACATATAGTACGCCAGACAGCGGCAATTGCAATCACTTAGCCATAAATTGCACACCTTTTTTAAGTGCTCCCTTGGACATGCAAGAGTGCATTAGATACATATCTGCGACGGCACTCCTATATAACAACTTTGTTGTGTTTTATTTCTCTTTTTCTTCCCTAATATTCCAAACGTGCATTCCACGCACTTAGCTATGGCGGCGGCACCCATCCCTGGAACGACTCGTTCGGCCAATCCAAGCCAGCCATCGATGACGGCATGTTAGAGGTGGTCGGTCTGACCACTTACCAGCTGCCCATGTTGCAGGCCGGCTTGCATGGCACCTGCATTTGCCAGTGTCGGTCGGCGCGCATCGTCACCAAGAAGACTATCCCGATGCAGGTGGACGGCGAGGCGTGCCGCGTTAAGCCATCAATTATCGAAATGAGTTTGTTGAACAAGGCGGTTATGCTGGCCAAACGCAAACACGGACGCGGCGATGTACAGTAAGTGCAAACCATGTTTTTTAGATATGCAAATAAACTTATATTTTTTCGAAACACCTTTGTGCCCAAAACTTGCTCATTCATTATAGTATTAGTGTGGTTTGAGCTAAAAGTATTTATCTATATAATATCATAACGATTTTTTCATTGCTGTAAAGAAATGTCGCCAACAAAGTTTCATTTCAATATTTGAACTTCTAAAATGAATAAATATCCGCATTTATCAGTTATTGTTGTAGTTTCAGCTAAACCTTTCCCGAACTAGTTGTAGGAGAGATCATTCTCGGATTTTTATAAATTCTTGTAAGTAAAGTGTACCGCACTGCCCTGCGAAAGTGGTTAATTAATTTTCGTCGAAGTTTCTGACTAAACTCATCTCTCTCAACATTGCGGAATGTAGAATTCCCATACACAAAGCAAACTCGTTTGTTCTAAACAGCTTCGGGAATTTCCTTGAGAGGGCGAAGACTTAGTCGCTAGTTCATAACCTAAAAACCGAAGCCTTCTCATAATGTTAAATTTCAATGTTCCTTTTTTTAAACATTGCTTTAGTGAGAGAGATAGAACTATCGCGAACATCTGAAGTCAACTTTGATTGCATTGACAGAACTTAGATTGAGAGACAACAATGTGTTTTTTTTTGCAACATTACGAGCATATTAATAATAATAATAATAATAATATTGTCGAATCGTTTCACTAAGCTCATTTTACTGTACATTTACTTCAGAGTGAACCCATTGGAGAAGCTACATTTAACAATTTTGCGCATAACGATGCAACAATACGAGCAATATCACTACGACAAAGACATGTTGCGCAAATTGGCCAATAAATTGGGCAAAATGGAGATCGAGTCACAGTGCGATTTGGAGCAGGTTCGCAACATGCTCAATGCGAAATTCGAGGAATCGATCACATACCCGAAGGTTTCGCAGGATTGGTGCTTCATCGATTGTGAGTACTCGCTCGCTAGTTAGCTAAAAAGCTTCATTTCCAATCAAGTTTGAGCAGTACTAAAATTTCTCTGTTTATTTTTTATTTTTTGTCTCTTGCAGCCTGCACTGCGGAGCACTACTTTCGCATCGATCGCGCTCAAGAGCATCTGCACTACATTTGTGATATCGCCATCGACGAGTTGTACATTCTGGACCACGAAGCTGCCACCATGCCGCAGACGCCTGACCAGGAGCGCTCCTTCTCCGCTTACTCACAGCGGATTGGCGCACAAAATGAGCGCCGCAATATGGATCAACAAGGCCGCTCCGGCAGCACCGGTACGCAATTACCCTACATAAGTAAACGCATGTTTTGCAATTATTATTACCGCAAGAAGCGCTTCGAATTGTAAAGCGATGCAATCTCATATGTACATATGTACATAGTAATTTTTTTGGTTGGGGAACCTTTTATGAAACCTAAAGGTGTAAGAGTTCAAATTTAAAATACGTGAATATGTTCAAATAAGAGGTTCAAAAAAAAATATTTTTTTGTTATACAAATATTGAGCAATATTTAATTCAGTAAAATAGTTACAAATAATAAATAATAATAAACAATTTTCTGTGGCATGTAACCGTGTGTCCTTTGCTAGAATAAAAAAATTTTTAGTTGTTTTAGGTGCTTCCTTTTTCTTATGATTTAGTTAGTTTTCAAAGTTCTCATAACTAGTCATTGAATATCATTATTAGTTACGAAATATCGTTTTTTTTACCAATGAGTACAGTTCAGAAAGAACCGAATATTAAACGTTCTCTCTAACGATAAATACAATTTTCGGCAAGTCTGAAATAATTTTTTATTATAAAGGGAACTAGAAAATCATTATTTGTAACTGAGCGAATTTATGGTCCCAATTACGGCAGTAACTTACCTTTTGTCCGGGCAACACGCATACATGTTTATAGTTGGGTATAAAGTCCCCTAAAATTATGGTCATGCCTATATTCGGTATGTAAAGAGAAGGTATATACAGACTATTTGATACGAAATGATAAAATATTAATATCTGATTTGATAATTTTTCAACTGAAAATAAATGGTTCGTTCAATATATTTTCATTTGAAGTGAACATTAAGTTACTAAAAATGTCTTCACTCTTGGTATGAATTCGATACACTCATGAGATCAGTGACCAAATATGACTAATATACTTGTACGTCCATCAGTCACATTCCAGAATGAAAGTTGGAAAATTAGTTTCAAGTCTGTTGACACAGAAACTGAACACTATTTTTATGATCGCTTTAGCCCACTTGATTACTTGCTACAAAATAGAGCAATATTTCTTGACCTTAATAAGAGTTTTTTTAAAATTAATTTTTTTTCATTACTGCGCCATATTTTATTATTGTTATTATTGTTCCATTACATTATACTTTGCTTGCTTATGATATGTTTGCTTATGATTTATTTGACTGTATGTCACTGTAATTGTGTAAGTAGTATTAGTGAACTATTAACCTTCACAAAAAAAGGATTTCAGAATACAGCTTAGTCCTTGCCGCATAAATGTAAGTACCATTATGCATACAAATATAAAGCGAAGCAGGCATTTATACTCACATATGCAGGTGCAATATTTCCTACGTGCATACTTCTAGCGCAACTTATATTGACAGCAAAGACTAAACCGTATTCCGATATCTTCGCGCCACCAACAAAAGTGAATTCAAAAATAAAAACAAAAACTCAAAATTAAACAAAAAATCCCCAAATTTACCACACTGTGCACAAAGATAATTATCACAAATGGTATGTTGACTGCATGGAAGGCATTTCCATTCTTTTTCGTATTCCAAACTTGTATTTATTTTTAGTGGTAGCGATAATAATAAATTTATTTGTTTGTATATAAAATTCTTACTTGATTGCGCATTTGTGTGATGAGCGGATATTAATTGAGGTTATTTTTGATTTTTATGTCTCAAATAAATATTTTCGAAATGCATATATCCAAAGACGATGATTTGCAAATCGGAAAACCCATCAAAGTTATGAAATGGAAGAGGTAAAGGGCGCATCTATATACATATATACTATTTTATTCATGCCATCTAAAATGCTAAACATTTTCTTCGCTGCGAAGCAAATTTCCAACTCACATTGGTAAAATCACAATTTTGAAAATTCAAAACACTTTTTCCTAACTTATCATTAAATTCGTTATTACAGCCGTGTGTAAAAAAATACCCACAGTTTTCTATATCATTTCAGCACTGCTTAAATTCAAATCACTTGCAAAAGCTTTTCTGGAAAATTGTTCCCATATTTCCCATGATGGTCTCTAAAAGTGCACCGAGTTGCTTGGAGGTTTCTCTAAAATTTTAAAACGTTTTCATTGAGGCATCTTGTTAACTGAAAAAACGTAGAAAACGTCTTATGGCACTATTTAGATTATATAGTAAAGTTTCATTGTAGAAAATATTTTTAATTTTTTTTGTATAAAACAATTATTTTTTTACCAATTAATTAAAATGAATATTGTAAATGTTATACTTGAGCAGAATAATTATATTTCGAGGAAGTATTTAATGGTAAAGAGTCGTTGTCATATCATTGACAATGGGATTATATCAATAACCATCGACGGAGCAGAACTATTTACGTAAATATTCTGTTCTATAAAAGGAATTTCGCATAAATCCTGACGATTTCTCTATCCGATGACACTAAATTCATCATAACTGAGACTACCGAACCATTTAGCGACTGTATTTCAATATTCAAATTATGTTACGAAGAAACTTCCTCAGTTCTAAGCATTTTAGCGTAATGAAATGAAATCAAGACACAATTAGATATGATCATTTTGTTTTTGCGTTTTTCTCCGCAACCAAAAAGTCAAATAAAAGCTGAGAATAACGGAAAAATATTTTGAGATCCAACATACTTCAATCAGAAAAGTAATTGCCAAGTTTACCTAACCTTAAAATAGTCAACACCGAAAATGCATTGAACGCCTTCATAAATACATATCGCTACTCTCTCTGATCTCTTTCTCTCTCAAATACATTAAATTTTAAATAATAAAATAAAAATTAAATTTCTCAATCTGTCAAACTTCAATAATTTGCATGCAGCAATAAAGATCGCTTATTCAGTTTCAACGAAGACGTCTTCGGTTACGGATTCAGGTATTTTTGTGCTCAGCGTAAACTCAATACTTTTTGCAGTTAAATAACTTTTGCCAAATTAAAGCCAGAAATCGCAGATATTTTTTACGAAAAAAGTTATTTATTTCTTTTTTTTCTTTTTCTCTCATTTTCGGGCTAAATCAAACTACTCACTGCGCGATACACACTCGTAATGTTTAATTAAATGAATACAACAACAAAATAATTTTGATAAATAAAAACACCGACGCACCGCATTAAACTGCACCACGCATGAATGCAAATGTATGTTATGTAACTGCGTGTATCTGCAACTGACACTAAAAAAATACCAAATAACTAAATATGAAACCGACATTTAGCTCTATACTGGAACAAACTTCCGATGCCATACTACTAGCGGCGCACCAAGGCGACCTCAATACGGTAGTTAATGCACTCGTATTTATGTGAATTTCTAACACTTACTTAATTTATTTAAACAACGCTACGCCTCACGCACTCGCCTTCTAACTTTTGCTTTTGCTAATTAACTGTGATTTGTGACTAATGCAACCATTGACTCTTGCACCCTACACCCACACAAGCGCCTCCAAAGAACTCGTTTACAAAACGCATTGTACATACATACATACATATACAAGAAGTTGGCTCTATTTAATTTTCAGATCGCCATTTAAACAAAATTTTGTGCTGTCTTCTTCCGAATAGCAGCGTCATCTTAATTAAGTTCTTTATAAAATGTATATATATATATATATTTATATATATAATTGTAACTTCAATTTCGGTTTTTTTTTTGTTCTCGCTGCTTACAGTTACGTGCACTACATGAACAAGGATACTCACTACAATCAGTAAACAAGAACGGACAGACAGCACTGCATTTCGCCTGCAAATACAATCACAAGGACATCGTCAGATACATAATATCGTGTGCCTCGCGACGTCTGATCAACTTGGCAGACAAAGATAGGTAAGTGATACATATAGTATTGCTTTATAACAAATGATATCCGAAAAGCTCTACAATGAATTTAGAAAGTTATCGTGAAATTGAAATGAACATAAAAGCTCGTGAAAGCACGTTCAACAAGAGAAGATTAAAAACGCTAAATTAACCAAACTAGTCAATCGTTATGTGCTCTCGGCTATAAGCAAAACAAAGGGAATACGAACTTTCTCACATAATCTTTAAGATATAAAATAGTCTAGGAATTTTTTAGCACATTTTCATCTACAAAATAAGGCAAACAGACTTCAGAGTCATACTTTTAAATTTAATTAGGCCTGTACTTTTTCCAATTAATTTATTGGTTTATTTCGTCATTGAGCTTGATCTAATACATAAAAAATATTTCTTCTCACCCACAGGGGGCAAACAGCACTACACATTGCTGCCGAGCAAAATCGGCGCGACATTTGTGTAATGCTCGTGGCTGCCGGCGCCAATCTACAAGCTCGCGACCTATGCGGCAATACACCGATGATGGTGGCCTTCAATAAGAATTCTACGGAGATTGCAACGTATTTGGAAAGTAAGACGCTTTGTGCTGCGATACACACAACAACCGTTTTGCCAAAAAAGCGCAATAAACAACAACAACAAAAACCGTAATGCGCAGCTATGCAGTAGATGAAGCCGCTAGACAGCCGAACACTCACACACTTAGAAATAGTAACTTCCCCAACCGCTTAGCCACGATTTAATCGCGGGAAATGTAGTAGTTTGCAATCAAAAAAAGTCAAGAACAAAAAAATTGCACTGATTGAATTTATAATAGGCTTAGAATTATCAAATACATATGTACATACATATTTGTAAGTTGGTTTGTGTGAATCGTTTTGCTATCGTAAGAGTTTTAAGTTGAATATAATTTCCAGTTTATTTCCGTACTTTACTTCATTTAGCATTAAACAAGACAACCCTGAATTTCTCATTGTTAACGCTTGAATTCATCAATTTGTGTTTAATGTAATTATGTAACGATTTCTTTGCGAAATGTCGGGAGTAATCATTATCAAAACTACTCGTATATATAATTTTAGTCACTCACACTTTACTAATTAACTTAAATATTTCCTTTTTTTATCCGCAAACGCAAACGATTGCTAATGATGCACATACATTTTAAATTAAATGAAACGAAAATGAAAATGAAAACATCAAATGTGACAACCAAACATTCCATTTACGTAAATTAAGGTCAAGAGCGTTTTCTTGTAATGCAGAGACAGTCGCGAAATTAAAGCGGCGCCTGAATGTATGCACCAATAAAGATTAAGAGAAAATCCGTGAAATTTAGTATGCTAAAATTAAATTTAAGTATTTAACAATATATTTACCTTTAACAAATAAGTATTATAAAAAATGCAAGTCTCTTTGAACGGGACAATTTATGCTTAAAAACATGTAGTAAAACACATTTATATTACGATAATACATTTTAATTATTTATTAGATAGATTTATGGTCGAGTTTCTCGAGTGTTTACAAAAAATTCAACTAATAATTAATATGACTCAATTAATTTTAAATAAGTTTTGCATAAATAACACCTGTACCGTCTATCGACAAAGCCTCACACACATAAATCACGACAAGTATTTGAATTCAGTTTGAAGTAGGAATGCAATTCAAGAATCACGCCTACTGTAAATTATGTGTTTCGAACTAACAACAACTTAAGACATAAAACAAATTGCAAGCAAGTGGAAAAATAGAAATAAAAACTGCAAAAATTTGAAATTGTAAATAATAAACCACAAGTAGGTTATCCGCAACACACGTTTGAGATAGATGCAAGCTTTTTGAAGCAACAATACCATTAAAAAAAAAAAATAACTCGAAACGAACGAAGAAGAAAACCAATTGTGATATGAGAATTATTATGGATATTCTGCGTACGTAAAAAAATGGGTATAAAACTGAAATGACCAAGTTAGAGTCAGTTATTTTGGTGACAATGGAAAAATTTAATAAAACATGCATAATTTAATAAATTAGCTTATAAAACTCATATTACTTCTAGAAGAAAATCGAATACACTTGTAGTTACTATAAGATGAAATTAAGACGTCAACATTTAAATTATAAACTGTAGCCTTAAACACTTAAACACACACACACTCACATTGATATTCTAATGTAAATATTCATGTAAATAAGTAATACTCAACGAACTGTAAGCCAAAATGCTGTAAGAACACACTTTCGTTTCGAATTTCAATTGCTTTTATGAACATGAATTCAAAATAAATGCAAACCAAATACACAGACTATCTTTCTTTTTTACACTGGTATACTTTTTTCATTTTAATATTATTTTTTTAGTTCGTCTGGCCGTGAGGTTTTATTATGAATGAATGTTTTGATAATATGTTTGTTGCTTTTTAACAATAAAAAAGTATATTCTAGTAGTGATATAAAACATAACCAAAACAATTTTGTAAAATGCTGACGAGTTGATAGTCCTTAAACGGACGTAAATCCGAGTACGTTACGGCTACGGTCAGTGAGCTGACAGTTTGGGAACGGATGGAATTGAATACAGCTTAATGGCAGACCCTTACTTTGTACTTTCTATTATAGTAAACACAGAGCGGAATTTTCAGATTTCGCCCCTGAACAGACTACTCAATATGTATTTGAATACCAAAGCCCAATCACTTTTGAATAAAGCACTCGTTTGGAAACAGCTCTTGGCTGAAAATTCGCGTTTTCATAATTTCCACAACAAGACTGGCTGCCTAATGTGATTGGTGTCCATAAATTAACTAAACACTTCTCGTCCGACTTAAACAGAGTACCTTGATGCTTTCAGAGCATTTCTGGATACCTAGAAGGCACCAATAACTTTCTTAATCGGCTAATATATGATTTCGTGTTAGATTTGAAATATACTTTTTCGTTCACTTAACTATATGTATATGTACATACATACATACATACATGTAGTATATAATATTTATGCCATACATGTTTTCAATAAATATTTACACATTTTTTTATAATGAGAATGTTACATAAACCCAATCAACACACGTAGCTATACGTTATGTCAATCTTAAAAAAATTTAATATTTGTCTTTTAAAGATATTAGAAAATAGTTAAAATTAATTGAACTCTATATTCTTAGATCATTAGAGGCATTTGCAAAGTTTTTTTCAATTTGAAAATATTTGTATATACTTGCAGACACGAATTATTTTGCAATTACAATTTAGTATATATCTAGATTTTAGACTCATTATTAATATTAGTAGCCCCATAAGGTAGTAATCAAGTCAATTAATTCATAATATTTAAATATTTATTTCGTAAATTAAATAATTAAAATTGCGCTTCCTTAGCATATTTGTGTGCGTCATTAAATACATATACATATATACATGTATTTGTGTATGGTATGTATGTATAAGAGTATTTAAAAAGAAAACGAAAATCTGCGAATAGTGTCGCGGCATACAAATGTGCTAAAGAAAAATCAAAGTAAACATACAAAATGGTATTTATGTTTTGGATTTTATTAAATATCAATGCAAACACGATTTATTGCATTTTTATTCAAGCCCCTTAAATTTGCAATAAATTGTTTATGAATATGAGACAGTTATAATAAAAATAATACACACATACATTAAATGTAAAATGAAATGTATGAAATTGCTTAATTTAATTAAAGGAAAACGCATAACCTCAAATTTGAAAGAGGATATTGCAATAAATGAAAATACAATTAAATATAGAAAATTGGTGAATTGAAAAAGGAAATAATTATTTATTAACTAAAATCAAATGCAACTGAAAGGCAACTGACAATCTTCACTTGTACACACGTGCACTCTTATACACACACACGAGCACTTAACTCGTTATTGACGATAAGTTGACCGCACGATTTCTTTTCTTCGAAATATTAAAGTAAAGTTTAACATTTAAAAATAAGCACAGTTAGTGATAGGAAAATTAGAAATAAATCCTTAGAAGTAATGCACAGTAAAAAATTTTCATAATACAAAAATATAAAAATACATGAAAGCAATGATATAGAGGCTTAAAAGAAAATTTCGTTGGTTTTCAAAAATAAAAAATTTTTTTGGAACACGTGGAATTAATAATTAATTAACATACATACATATGTTCTACACATGAAAAATTAGAACCAAGAAGAGCAACCACTAAACTCCTTAAGAAAATATAAAAGCTAATATGTCCATAGGTTGACCTGTATAAATTTAAACACATAAAACAATTACTTTATTATGGTTATTATGTATATTAACATTATCTGCGAAAGGCGTATAATTGACTATGGAACACATTGGGTAATGAAAATACAAGTTGCACATATGAAATGAATAAATTTGCTCTCGACCGATAAGTAACACTACTATATTTAATATTTGCACGTAGGACATACTCCAAAATTGAAAACTTGAAACGAAAGTCTTATGATTCCTAGTTATTTAAGACCTAATATTAACCATATATTATTCTGATTATTTACTTTGCCGTTTTCAAACTACGCGTGTATGTATGTGTATGTAAAATATGTTAGAAAAACATTATTCAATTTAATTAAAAATTAAATCACAAATTCAACTGGAAGTTAGCTCTAAGTAATAATACGCTTAGTGTAACGGTTCATTGTAAATATTAATATAATAAAAGTAGGTATACTGTAACTGCTTAATAAGCGATTATATGGCTGGCAGCATACATACATACATATGTATATACCGAACTAACATTACAATTCACAACTGCGAACCCACAGGTTCACCCCGGTTGAGCTCGCTTACTGAAATTTAATACTTGGCGATGTGAAGATTATTAATTACATACCTACATACATATGTATGAAGAATTGTAATGTCGTTGATGTGGTTGCAAAACAAGAAAATTTTAAATTTCAAGCGCCGTGAAGTTCTTTTCGAAGGAAGACACTTGATATAATAGCTTATATGTATGAAAGCGTCCTCCGATTCCTACCAAGAACCGAACTTTTAACCACTTAATTAGCTGAAACGTCTCACCACTTAGCTGAAGTGCAAGGTGTACGAGCATACTACAATACATATGAAGTTCATTGATATTTCTCAATTCTCAGCACCATTTTTTTACTAAAGAATAACTCAAGTCTGACAACTGAAATTTAGACAATTTTTCAAAATAAATACTTACATACATATATGTATGAACGAAAAAGTTAAACGAATTAGGAACTACTAACTACAAGTACGAGCTACCAACTAGTTGTTGCTGGTACAAAACTACATTTAATTGTAATTTACTATAAAAAAATAAGTGAATAGATTTAGAAAACTTACAATTGAAAGCTAGAAAACAAAAATTGAAGTTAAAACTAAACAACGCACTGCAAGCACTGAGGAATTTGATTCAATTTTAATGTTAGTCTGTACTTAAAATGTAACGAAGCAAGAAAATAGGGAGGCTGCATTTCAGTAAAAAAAACTGAAAAACAGCAATTTATTGTTAATTTTTTTTAAAATAAATATGAAATGTTTAAGTTAGACTCTGTAAAATACTCCATGTGCCTCTTCTCCCTTTCCGTTCCACAAAAGTGGTTAAATGCAAAGCACCGTTGCTCTTTTGGATTTGCTAATGCATTGGCTCCGCGTTGCAGCTCCTTAGAGTGCATACCATCTACATTTTTATTGTTTACTTAAAAACATTTTTAACTCAAATAACATGCATATATATACTAAGCCCAAAAGACTTCTCTTTATTAAAAAAATAATAATAATAATTAATGTAAGAAATATTAATTTCGGCAAATCCTATATTTAAAAGTTAAATGCAAGATATTGTAAATAAATATATTTAATCTACGAATCCGAAGCTACTTTTATTAAAGAAAAAATTAAACAACACTTTTTTTGGAAATATTAAACGTTTGTTTTTCTATCACCGAACATAGGCAAAATGTAAGTAAAACTCAATGTTTATTCAAAAAACACAGGTTTATTACCAATATATGGTATTGAAAATTTCACATAATTGTGGTGTTGAAGCATAATCAACAGTAACTCTTCAGATGCACTTTAGTAAACATGATCATAGAAATACATAATTTTTGAAATTCACAAAATAAATATTTTATATAAAGAAAAAATAAAAATCATTTCACTTTCAAAGTATGCAAACAATGAATGGCACTTTTCAAAAAAATATATAAACTTCTATTTGAAAATAGATTTTTGATAGGAATGACCTGTAATCCAAATTGGTGAGACATTAATCCTCTGTTCTGGATGGTAAAACTCTCGACTTTCTAATTTTTCCAAACTGATATAACGTAATGTGTAGCCATCAGCGTTCCGGACCCGTTGTGAATTCAATATCATGTAAGGACGATTACTTTTTTGTTCTCCCACGGCTAAGTACTCGTAAATATTGCGTTCCATTGTAACTTCTGGAACAAAAAGTGTTATTTCAGTATCGTTGAATGCCAGGTTAAGCGGCGGATTATTACGAAACTTTGGAAATATACTGTAAAACTGGACAATGTGTGACTGGCGTTTAAGAGAAAAGCAGTTTCGTAATACTAGAAAACTTCTTCTATAAGTATTTAAAATAAATTCTGTAGAATATTGGGCCAAAACTTCCAAAGCGACTGCCAACTCAACCATGGACTTGAAATTGAAAACATTCCTGTCGCAATGGCCCACCAGTGACGTAATATCTGAACAATTTTCGCAAACAAACACTGCAACGCAAACTTTCTATAAGAACAACTTGGTTTAGTCTTTATGAATCTTACATAATTCGGCACGAAATCCATTCAACACTCGCACCATGTAGTGGTATCTTGGAAACCCGTTACTTCGGTCAATTATTTGCGCAGCAACTTCGCACATTGCTACATGCACATCTTGCATATCACGACCTACAGCCACCTCCATTAGGATGCCACTTAACTGTCCACTTGTGGGATCTTTCAATAATATCTATAAATCAATAAAATACGTTAAAGTAGCTTTAGTTGTAAGTTCTTCTGTTTTTAGTACTAATGCGGGATTACAAAATAACAAAAATTGCATCAATTAGTTCATATTGGCTAGTTTATAACATTTTGCCTCCGATATTTGTATACATTATAAATATTACATGAAAATAAAATATTTGCGTACTCCACCATATTGAAATCCATTTTGGTAAAAGCAATTCCCATAAATTACCACCGGTATGCACCAATTATTAGCCAAACAGAGCAAACGTAATTTAGCACAATAGTCTTGTGGTTTACTATGAAACAATAGAATATATACATATATACCCATTCAAATAAATGAAAAAAATATATTAATTCATACCTTGACGCTGCAGTTATTGAACGTATTTCCTAAATTTTACGAATTAGATATAAAATATATGATGTGTTATTGTCCAATAGTTCTAACCTGTTGTTCATTGTTGCTTTTAAAATGGATTTGCAATAATTTCGGTTTTGCCCATTGTACTTTCAAGTCATTACCCCACATGCGCATGTGTCCAGGTGTCGTTTTTTTCTTAGCCTCCATAGCCGATTCGTGATCATAAAATTCGATAAAAGCAAAGCCACGATTAAGGTCACCTCTCAACGAACAAGTTTCTGTTGCGGGAAATGCTATACAACGCTCTATGTCGCGGAATGTTTTCTTGAAACCTTCTTCCAGAGACGACATCGGTAATTGCTTGGGGATATTACTCACAAAGAGGCGATTTTTTCCTTGCGATCGGTAAACGCACACACGTTCGCCGCACAAAAACAAACATTTTAATAATTCGTACGCCACTAAAGCTTCATATTCTTGCATGTAACGTACAAAGGCATAACCGCGTGTAGTACTAAAAGACTGCATCATCACCCGCATTTCATAAACAACACCACAACGATGCAGCCAAGCCAGAAAACGTACCTCATCCAGAGACTTGGGTAAATTCGATACATATAATTCACATATGTAGGAAGGACGCTCACCTACATATTCTACTGGCGGTCCAAATACTTTGCGTCCATTCTCCAAAATAGCAGGCAGAGAAGCGGCTTTCGTGAATAGTGTCTCCCAAGTAATATCATTACAATTGAGCGAAAACGAAGACAACGATTCAGATGGCGACGAAGAGGAGCCTACTCCCAACCACGATGTTGACAAGTCAGACATTTCCGTTATTATTTTATTTATTACTAATTATCTCCAACAGTTAAACACGCCTATTTATTTTTCCAACTAAAAAGCTTGTTAATGTTAATGCCAGAGCGTGCGAAATAGAAGTACCCACCTTATGGTATTTCTGCTCCTAACAGGCCACAGAGTAGGCAAGTTTCTAAGCTTATGAACAACAAATGACCATTTTAACACGTTTAGTTCATTTGACAAATGAGTATATCAGAGTTTTGCTATTTTCATTCAGTAATTACAAAAAGAATAAACCAAGTTATTTACCGTTTTATTTGGCAGGCGATAAGTATTTCAAATAATTATACTCATGTATCTGTGCGAATTACCAACTTCCAATTCACTGTCTTCGTCGCGGTAATAAACTAATAGATCAGTTACCGTCACGATTATGAATGAATTCCACTAAATGTATATTAACTGGCAACATTACGCAGTAACGGGAAAGTGTCATTAAATTCAAATAATTTCTAGATTTGGCAGCATTGTCTCAACGGATATTTGTGTGTGATATTCGTACATCGTAATTGGAGTGATCATTTCTATTCATAGAAATTAAATTCAAATACGCACATAATAGTTGTTAAATATTTGCGAAGTTAAGCAATCTACAGAAATGGAATACACAGTAGCTAACGGGTCCTATTTTGGAAGAAGTTCCACAATGTGTACTCCTCTACATATTATTTACCCGTTACCAGCTCCGGTCGCTTCTGATCACTTTGGGGGAAGTAGTTATACACCTTCACCACCGATTTCTAGTCCACCTTTGCATAATGACTCCAATAGCCAAGAACAGGATCAACCGTTTACCCTCATGCAAATGAACGGGCGTAAAGTTCTTGGTCCACCAGAGGATTGGCAAGGTCCTCCCCCTTCAAGTGCATGCGAACTTTTTGTTCGTCGAATTCCACGAAATATAGACGAACAGAGACTTATACAACCATTTTTACGTTTTGGGCAAATATATGAAATGCGTTTGCCAATGGATTTTAATCAGGTAAAAAATTTGAAATCAATACATATTTTTCGATGTGTAGTAAACATGTTACATACATATATACATATATTTTAGGCAAATCGTGGTTACGCATACGTGAGGTACACCACCGAAGAGGAAGCAAATTGTGCCATGGAAGTGCTGAATCATTTTTATGTTGCACCTCATCGTAAGTTGGAGATTTTACAATCGTACGAAAAGTGCTGTTTATTTGTGAGCAATATACCGAAATATTTGGATGAAAAAGAGATCGAAAAAAAGTTACGTACAGTCTTTCCAACTATGGAACGATTGTATATCCAAGTAAGCAATACGGCTAAGAATACTATTGGGAATAACGGCGAAAATGATGAAATCTCTAATCAAGAAATGAGAGGCACAGACCACGATAGTAAGAACCGTGGTCATGCTGTCATACACTTCCCGTCGCATCTAGAAGCTTTAGAAGCGAAGAAAAGCACAACACCAGGAGTAATTCGAATGTGGAATCGTGACTTAAAAGTTGTCTGGGCAAACACCGAACGCGATACTGATATGTCGAAATCGGTATGTTTAAAAATTGGAAATAAGAAATTTAGATATTTTTTATACATATCCGTTATATCTGTTTAATTATTATCGCAGAATAAAACCCTTTTTGTACGAAATGTGGATCTTTGCGTTAATAATCGTGACATAATGGATATGCTTGTGAAATTCATTCCACGCCAAGAGATAAGGAAAGTCACGAAAGTTCGAACAATCGCATTTTTTGATTTCACAACTCGTGAGTCGGCTGAAAAGTGTTTACAAGAGTTACAGGGGACAGAATTACGAGGCCAGTGTCTCAATATTGAATGGGCTAAACCATCGGAAAAGTGGGTGAACTTTTAATACTTTTGTTTTTTTTGTTTTTGTAAATTTAAAAATACCCCTCTTCCAAATAGGCAATCTTTGCATCGCATGTGTAGGACAGATTTTGATGCCATGCTTCGTCTCAAATGCATAGCCAATTGCTGGCAAATACCAGTCATAATTTTCGGTACCTACTTCGAACGTGAAGATCTACAGTACGGCGCGGTCATGATGCGGAACGCAGTTGGTACAGCACGGTCTATTTTCTGCGTATTCCAATGCCAAGAACTTGTTGACATACATTCGCGTATATGTGAAGTGGTCTGTGTTTTATTGGAAACCATTGGAAACTTTCCAGACTACAACTATTTTTTCTTTGTAGAAACTGACAATGCACATCTTTGTAAGTTATCACAGCACTGTTACTTTTAATAATTAAAATACAAAAATTTTTTATTCTTAGTGGGAATAGTGACGCATGACTGCCAATCAGTAAGCTTCATCGCATCTCATCAAGTACCTAAAAACGTACATTTCGACTTAAATGAGATAATCGACATGAGCTTGGCCATTGCTAATTTGGCTGCCATTGAAGAGGATGTATTACTTCAGGCGTATCATGAGAGTTTTCAGATGCCTACCACCGCCACATATTTACCAAATTTGGTAGTTTCTGGCTATCGAATTTTCGGCACAATTTTCCCTAAATACCGAAATAAACCGCCACTAAAACACAATCTTAACGATACACAGATAGTGCTAGCCCTATGCTATTTAATGACAGGTACAAATACAGTGTTGCCTAGCCGTCCTTATCTTGCCTATCCAGTATCCTTATTCGATAATGGCTATGAAAGATTACGATTCGTATCACTTAAACTCTTACCCATTGCTGTCACGCAATCACGTTATTTGGTGCATCAGGCGCTCAACCATGTGCAATTTGGTAATGTACACAACTTTCACCCAGCGCAACGTTTCACAACCCGTCCGCTATGGATAACTGGATGTTCTTACGCCAAATCACTTAAACAACCCACACTAGTACAAACAATGCATGTTAATGCGCAAGGAGTACAAGATCAACGACAATATAACAATACATCGAATGGTGCTTATATGCCATCTACTTATGCCTCTTCTAGCGTTTTAGCGTCAATATCTAAACCAAATCAGACGACTTTCGGAGTCAATTGAGTTTTGGTGTATTTATTTTGCATTTTATCTCTATTGTTGTTGTTTTTGTTGTAGCGGTAGAATTCTGCCGAATTGACAATCCTTGGCCGGATAAAAATCTGGGTCTGTTCCGGTTCCGTACACCCGACTCTATTTCTAGCTGTATGCTTACTTTGCACTGTTACTTTTACATTATTGGATTTCTTAAGTATTTTATGTATGTTTTTACCTATTTATATATATATGTAGTTGTGTGTTAATGTTAAGATCCATTTTGGTTTATTATTGATTGGCTTCTTTTAAAGTTTGAATGAAATGAAAAAGTTATTCGTTAAAAAGTTTTTTTTTATAATTGAAATTTGTCCTTTTTACCTGTATTGTATGGAACGATTCAATTCTTTTTCTAACTTTGTGAAAAAACTTGTAATACATTAAATAAATACTTTATATTTCTTAAAATATTTCCTCATTCATTTGTTTTGGTTTGAATGCAAAAATATAATGAAAGCAAGCCTATGAATATTCTCTTATGCCCACCACGTGCATACATAAGTATCTTATACTCAATTCGATTGTAAACAAATTATGAGAACACACAAATTTGAGTTAATGCCTAATGCCTTGGAGGTCGCAATTCACATGGAAGCTGAAGAAACACAAAAGGTGTCTTCGACTTTCTGCACAACTGAGATCAGTCTCTTCCGAGATTTCGATACGAGCACCACATAGCAGCTAGTGAAAGTTTACACATCGCCACTGATGTGCATATTTATAGAAAATTTCGCCAGCGAACGAACCACATAAATAAACTGCATTTTCCTGGGGTATAATTTAAGTGTTTTTGGTTGATTTCAAGCTGTAGCCACATATAAACGTATGAATTTGTTAAGTTAATGGAAAAAACATCATTGGTACTACGAAGTTAGAACGAATTTTTGAACTCCATATTCTCACCTATCGGCTTATATGTACATACATAGATAAGTATATACGCAAGTTAGGGTATAAGAATATTGGTTTAGGTGTATGATACGGCCGTTATATCATATTGTTTGCCATTTGTGATTTCGCAAATGTTTGTGTTAGCGCCACACTGTCGTGATATCTCGTTTAAGTATACCAAGCATGTCTAATCGTATGGGACATGGACGCGACCCACTTCAAACACCACTGAGCAACGCGACGTTTAGTATAAATAAATTATGGATTTGTACACTTTTGGTGATTTTTGTGTTTCCACATACCTCGTATGAATTATTTGAGTTTGGAGGCGCTGCCAAGAGTGGAAGTGTTGACGCGATAGTGGATGCCATTAAACCAATAGGAAAGCGGCCGTTTGAGAAGAAATTCAAATTTCACAAAATTGAACGTGTATATTTCGATGATGCGGAAGGTCAAGATGACGAGGGGAGCACTGATGTCAACGATGACAAAAACGACGATGTTGTTGACGAAAGTAAGCAAAGAAACGATGACGACGGCACAAGTCAACATATGGATGCTAGCGAGCAAACAACTGAGTCGGAAGAATTACCATTCAAACGGGCACGAACAGCGCACAAGGAGCGGAGAACCGTCACCTCCTCCACCACGAAATCTAATGACGAAAAGCGCTCATCTAGCGTAAAGCGGAGAGACTCTACACATCGTGATAAAAGTGAAGAGTCACAATCTTTCTTCGGCTCATTATTCGGCAATCTCTTTGGTGGTGGGGCAAGCAGCAATGAGAAATTAACAAGTGAAGAAGACAAATCAGCTGAAAGAAAAGAGCCGTCAAACAGCATTATCGATTGGCTTAAATGGTTTAGTGAGCGAAATGAAAACGTTGGAAGTCAGGAAACTGTAGAAAATGAAGAAGCAGATGCGAAAACTTGGCTTTCCTACCTCAATCGTTGGCCATTCAATGCACTCTTTAACATTGGCCAACCTGCAAAACCTATACGCATGCCTAGAGGTGGTCGCGAGCCCAAGCAAACAACTGCTTCTGCAGAAGATGTGGACCCAGATGACGGAGCGCCCATAATGTCTCAGGAAAACTTCGAAACTGTGTTACATACACTACCAAGTTTTGTCGTGAATCCAACGCAAGTAGACAATACCGAATGTAGACAGCAATTGCAAATTTTTGGTAGACAGTTGCGTGGCAATAAATTGTGGACTTTACAGAGTGCGTTCACTTGCATCTGACTCTTAAAAAAAGTTTTTTAAATCACACTTTCATATTTTGTAGTGTTGGATGCTACTGCCAAAATCACATCGGGTGTGTTGCGCGGCAACATCAATCAATTCGGAGACTTTGATCAGTGTATGCAAGTGAAGACTGTGGTTAAGGTAACACCGGAAATTCCGGTGCGCATTCGAGGTAAATACTGCCTCGCCCATATCGAAATCCAGAGCACATCGAAAGAACTAAAGGTACCCTTACATTACGCACAAGGACGAGGCCTCTGGGGCAGTCATTTCGGAAACGTAAGTTGACTTAATAATTGCGTGAATTAGTTTAACAAAGCGGAATGGGAGAGTTCCGTTAGAAGTCACTAGTATTTTCTAAAAGTGAGTATCTTTCTTCACAGCCCAGTCACTTTGTTCCACGCTATAGCATCGCTAATTGGGGTGTGTGCATACCACATCTATGCAACGGCGAGGTTGTAAAGAAAATGCTTGAGTCCAACTTGAGACCCTACAATACAACAGGTTTGGAATTTCACGTGGAGGTCGACGATGATGACTGCTACACGCGATCCAACGTTAAGTTCGTTAAACTAATTAAAAAGGATCCGAAATTCACCACAACTATGTAAGCAAAGTTCTTATAAGTGTGTAATTCAATAAATTAATTTTATGTATCTACATCTAGATCCTGCATTTGTGGGCTCATAACATTGTGCATGGGTTCACTTCTTTATAAATACTGCCGCATTATCAAAGACTGGATTGTTAAAAAAATGGAAATTTCCAAAAATGAATCAAATGGCGAAACCGAAAAAAGTGAGGATGACACAGAAGCAGGTACTGAGGCCGAAGAGACAGAAGACATACGAGACGCTGAAATTGACAAGCAGGAAGAATTGCCCGTTGGCTGTAAGTTTCGTACATACAAGTATATACCTACAATTTAAATTGCAACGTCAATAAAGTGTTCGCGTTTTCAGTACTTCCGTCCCTCATGAACTTATTGCGAGATATTCTCAATGCTTTCTCACCCCAACGTACTTTTGTTGAACTACTCGGCAGTGATCACTTCGAAACGCAATTCCCAATCTTCAATATACTGAAATTGGGTGCTTCGTTCGCTCTTTATGTCTGCCTCAAGTATATAATGATTGGTCATCTCCCCATCATCAACCGTGAGAAACTCGTTCGGACTTTGGACCAACCACAGAGCGTACTGTTCCGATCTCCACTAATCTATATGGATGTGCTCTTAATGATAAGCGGATTCTTAGCGGCTTATCAATTGGCAGAAGAGATCGAGCAAAAAACACATATTCAATTGCTAAAGCGTATGACTTTGAAAATATCACGGTACATAATTAATCGAGGCCACCACTAAACCGTGTTGATTAATTTAATTAATTTATTTTGTACTCTTATCACCTCCCAGCTATCTGCCAACTTTGTATGTGGTGCTGCTCTTCCAAACACACGTTCTTCCCCGACTTGGCGCCGGTCCGCTTTGGACGAACTTGGTTGGACAAAACACGCGTTTGTGTGAACAGCAAATGTGGCGCAACCTTTTCAGTGTGCAGAATGCAATCGACTTTGAGGATACGGTGAGTGGGCCAATTAATAGTTACTCAACTTTTGTGATCTGTCCAATAATTATACTCTTTTAGTGTTCACCCATGACCATACAATTAGCTCTTGAAGTACAACTCTATATACTAGGTCCTTTGATTGTGTGGCTCTACCACACCGATGCAGATGCAGCATTCTTCATTTACGGCGCCCTCCACGTAATGTCCGTGGCGGCACGTTATTCCCGCACGCAAAACGAATACTTGTCCGTGACCTTGTTCCATGGAATGAAGTGAGTTCGCCTTTAATTTCGATTTATGTGCATTTACTGTTGTTAACTCTTAAGTTTATTTTTACTTCTTAAAGCATCAGCAAGTTCTATCGCACGGCTAATATGTTATTCTCTTCACCAATAAGTCGCGCAACAGCCTATCTACTTGGCCTTGGCACCGGTCTACTTCACCGTTCCCAAGCCGGAGTTATCGATATCGCCAGTGAGCTTAAGCCTGTAGGGTGGTTATGCGCTATTTTGAGTTTGGTTTGGTGCTTCTGGGCCCCTTCGGTAGGCATGCGCAGCGATTTTGTTTATACAGCTGGAGATGCGGCCTCTTATGCTGCTTGGTGTCCTCTTATACTTGGCTTAGGGCTGGCGTGGTGCATCTTCATGTTCCCAAAGGATGAAAACTCTGTGCTGCGGTTTCTCACCACAATGCGACCAGTATTGTTCCTTTCGCGCATAACGTTCCCCATACAATTGATGACATATGTCGTTGTGCTCTACAACACTGCTAGCGTGACCGAACCACGAAAGTATCATCTAACTGATTTGGTAAAAGCTTACTACTAATTTAGTTAATATATACAAAGTGATACATAGGCGCCCCTGAATGGTAATAATACCATAATATTTTCCATTAGGTAAACTTCAACGAGATTGCTGTAATTATCGTAAGCGGGGTTGCAGTGGCCTTTTTGATCGATGTTCCAACACAACACTTACGCAAGTTTGTAATAAATCGGTTGTTTATCGAACGCCAAGAATGCGATCATGATCACGAGACTGAACCTAGTTCAGGTGCTGACGCCTCTGAACCAGAAGCTGAAGTCGAAGATGAGTGCGAAGCCAATGGCAAAACAACGGCGGTCAACGAAGAGGCTCTTGAGCAGTCTAAAGATGATACAGCAGATATTTGGGGCACTGAAGATGCCACCGAAGATTTGGCTGTAAATAATAATAGCGACGAAGAAAATATAGCAGCGGAGGAGGATGAAGAAGTTGATGATAAAGAAACGGAAATATCAGAAGAAGATGAAGTAAAGAAGCGACCACAAAAAGACGATAATGTAGAGAAAGACACAACAAGCTTTACACGAAGACAACGACGAATAAGCGATGATTAGATGAATACCCACAAGAATGATGGGAATATGATTATGCTAATTGTACAAAAATTGGGAGCAAAATTAGAGTCAGGAATATATTTTTTGGAAAGAACTGCAAAGAAGCTGTCGAATAACCATACTTTTAAACGGTCAATGAGATGTTTTCAAACCCCTAATTATTTCCAATTCACCTAGAACCACTTAAGGGCGTCGTGATCAGAGGATTTATTGTTTACTTTTAAGCGGATGCACAGGCATACAAATCACACATGAAAAAAAGACAATTGGAAACCGGTTACAATGGCATTACTGGAAATTAGTAGTAAGAAAGAAAGTCGTACATATGTACATCATCAGCATAGTCATATCTTTTACATTAATTTCTACATAGGTTCCCTTAAATGTTAAATACATTAATCGCTTCATTAAAATGATTTATATTTCTTTTGTAATGATTCCCAGTTTAAATTATATCAAAGCTTAACGACCCGACGACAAGTCAAATTGGCAACACGAACCGAAACGCGAATCTAATTTGGTTTTAAAAGTTTTTAATTGTTATAAATATATTTATTTATATATGATTATATTTACTTATAATTGTATACATATTAATCACATATTTTGAAATAGACATTTTCATATATCAAAACCTCTTCAACGGAAGAGTTTTTCCTTTATGTAAACTTAACGTTACGTTATTAAAAAACAATATTTCTGCTGAATATTATACACCATTCATCCCTACTGTACTTCTTAATGACCAACGGAAGTATTGTAATGTCATGTAATGCGGCAAGTTTCAATAATATTTAAAATTAAATATTATTAAATATATAAAAAATTGCACTATAAATTCTTACACCCTTGTATGTATACGAGTATGTGTATATATATAAGCTATGTATGTTACTAGTACGTACATATGTACAGATCTAGCTTAAAGAATACGTGAATAATCACATTAAAAATTATTTTAAAAAACAAAAAAAATTATATATATATATACACAGGCATCTAATTACAAATTACATATACTAATTACGAACAATTTAAAAATAAAATCATTGATTTTGGTATTTTGAGTATTAAACTACGCCACCTGCTCCTCCGAGGTGCTGGGACTTTGGTTCTCCATTGATGGCGCTCGTTTCTCAGGGCGGCCCACCTTACGTAACAATATCCGTTCCAGAGCGTGAAGGGGCGATTCAAAGAGCACGCAAAGCACAAAAGCCAAAATGAATGTGTCCACCGTGTGACTAATCATATCGTTTTCCTGGAATATATGAAGAGGCATATGTTTTCTTAAATACAATTTCTCGACTATTTGGTAGTTCTTTACTTACCAAATTCACATAAGACTGATATCTACCATAACGGATGGTAGATGAATGATACAACTCCACTATGCCGTTCGACAGATAAGCGCAGTAGGTGAGCCGACTGATAGGCGCAAAAATGCGGCTACTCAAGAAGCTTTGCAACCAACCGGCATGACCCGTTGTAACGGCCATTACCAACCAAGCCACTGACAGATTCCAGCCTAACTTATGTAAGGCTGCGTAGAGGATACTCTCAATGTGAGTATATGGACTTCGGTAGAAACGACATATGCAGAACATCGTCGCGATGCCGATTAAAATGGAAATTAACCAGACAACTCGTACCAGCACACTGTGCAGCTTCTTACTGCAATCGCAAATAAGCGTTTATTTTCAATGAATTTCAGTTTAATTTTTTGTGATAATCACCCCTTCTCCTGCATGACGTGAACTAAGTAACCAGTCAGCAAACCGACAAAGTAGGCCGAGGCTCGCATGTGAGTTTTTATGTAATAGCCAATGTAATAATTATTGCTGGCTAAGTCAACCAATTCGCTGTAATGTGGCCGAAGAAATCGGGCATAATTAGAATAGATTAAGAAATGGAGATTCGCAACTTACTCCGCATAGACCAGTAAAGTGGGATCCAAATGTCGCAGAAATGTCATCACAAATGGTATGAGACTGGTGCATATGACAGCGGCTATCAGCATGTGTATACCGCATTTACGCATCTTGTAGAGCAAATAGATGAAGATCGGCGCGATGAAGAATAATTGCGTATCCACGGACAAGTACCACGACTGGAACATGCACTGCAAGGGTGATGAAAAACAAAGCTGTAGAGTTTAGTTGTTCTGTATATATTTTTCTTAGACCAACTTATGTAGTATAAAATTATTACCGACTCTAAAAATCAATATTTAGTCGATCTATAGATAACAATTTTCGGTTCGTCCTATAACGTTTTTATTGCACTATTAATGTTACGCAAAGGACGCGTGTATCGCTTTCAACTCTAAATTACTAAAACTGATACTAAATGAATGCAACATTCACTTATTCTCAAGAGTTTGACCAACATGATAATCAGGGAACAAATTAAAAGATAAGAAACTTACGAATTTATCTGTGTGGAAATAATTATTGACATAGAGAATGTTGAGCCACCATGATGCTTGACAGCGCTCCTGCTCGCGTACAATGCGTTCCCGCCATAGAGGTCCACTGCCAATACTCGGGAACCAGGTCATGTAGAAGCCAATTATTGCCATGTAGGCTGGTGTCAGGCGAATATAGCGGCCAGCGTACAAAATCAACGGATTTATGTGACCGCGACGACGCTCGAGCTCGATCAGCAGTATGCGGCAGAACAGGAAACCGCTCAGCAGCAGAAATGTGTCCACAAACAGCAGCGAGTTGTAGAGGAATGCAAACGCAGGGTATTTCGTTTGCTAAAATACAAATTACAAGTTACGATAAATCTGACAATTGGAGGAATATAGCAAACGGTAATAATGTCTTAGCGATTGCAAGATTTGCATTAAGTTGTTAACGGTAAAAAAAAGGTAACTTGCATATTAACAAACCACGCCGTCCTTACCTCCGCCACAAATGCCTCATTGTATGAGGGGCTGCCGTAGATGAAAGATAGCGCATGCCCCGCTAGTATCATCAGCATTGCAATGGCTTTGATACCGTTAATCGAATTGAGGCCCATCTGATCTTTGCCCGCCTGAAACAGTTTCTTTGTGTTCTCTGCAAATATGTTATGTAAGCATTAGTTAGTAAACCTTTGTATGGTGCAATAGTTGATCAGTGGAAGAGATAATTGCCCAACACCCACCTATGACAGAAAACGAGAGCAATGCGATTGTCAATGTTCGTTGTTGCAAGGCGCGCTTCGACACATCGTCGGCGCTTCTACACGCGTAAATCAAGAAGACATGGTAGGCAGTGCTCAGCGTGGCCAGCAAAATAAATATAAATAGCACAAGACTGCAAAAAGTGTGGCAAAAACAAACAAAGAAAGAAACAAAAGAAAAAATAACAAAAACATCATTAAAAAAGCAATAGACATTAGTGTCATGTACTCCGTGCACTCGTACAACATAATTAACCAAACAACTTACGCATAAGCAAACATTCCGCCATCGACATACAGCTCGGTGGCTGCTCCAAGGCTGCTCAGCTGGCAAGCCGTCTCGTTGGCACTTATCACGGGGCGTTGCAGGTAGTTTTGCATAAATATCGCGATGTCGCTGGATCGGCAAGACGCGGGCAAGCATGCGCCCCAAACGGCCGCAACAGTTGCATCGCCGTTACGATTGAGAGCCTGCGATCAAAGGCGATGAAGCTGACATTAGTTCGAGGCGTTTTTTATTGCGGCAATTGCCAGCGTTTTGTTTACTTGGGTGCAAATAATGCAACGGTCTAATGTAAATATGTAGGTAAGTAACTGTTTAAAGCACGGCACACGTATGTGCATGTACTAGATCTAAAATAGTCAATGTTTAACAATAAACTTTATAATGCTTAACGGTACAAGTCGTTAAAGACCCCTTGTAGTCTTATACAACACATTAAATACGTAACTGAAGGTCTTTTTTGCAGTTAATTTCATTTGCCCATGCAAAAAAAAAACAGAATACCTTGCCTTGAAATGCAAAGCAGTTGGGCGCAATCGGTCGATGTACCATTAATTGCACACGAACCATCGGCGTTTCGCAATTAAAATTATTGCATTTTGATGCTCTCGTCAAAAGATTGCACAAGGGTGCAAACCAAACTACACAGTTGCTAGTAACATTTTAAAATTGTCAAAGTAGAGTGTAAAGAGAGATTTACGAAATTATCGCAAAATTCGGTTAGCTGACCTAAACTACGCCATTACTACGTAATTAAGTGCTATAGCGCTGTAACCTATTAGGTTGCAAAACTCACATTTAAGGTTTACAAATTCTTGAAGAATGAGCGTGTTTGCACTTTTGTAATGTACGTTTAGAGCTTTCAACTATTTAAAGCAAAGTTGGTGTAAAGATTAGAACGATAACCTCACTAACACAGGATTGCTACTGTGAACTATTCCATATATAATACCTAAGCGATTGATATTCATATGTGCCCATAATTATGAAAGTGGTCTAAGCCAAAATTAAAAACAAAAATGAATTTATCACTTATTTCACACGACATGGTTTTAAACTAAAATTATTCAATGTAATATTTACGATATCGTAGTTGTAATTACATTAAGAAAAACATAAAGATAAAGATAAAGAAATCTTAAAAACCCGAAATTATGATAAAAATGGATTACTTTTTAAAAATGATGAATAAATGTTTATGAATTATTTCATTAAAAATGTGTTTCAAACAAAAATTACAATTTTTTATTACTTTAAGTCAATTATAGGACATTAAGTTAATTTTGAAAATGGTCTAAGTCAATTCAAGCTCTAAAAACAATATTTTCCTATAAAATTAACACAAAAGTTTATATCTATAATAAATGTCTATTAATCAAGGCTAAGAAAATTAGAAATTAAAATGTCGCATAATGTAACAATTGTTCTTAATTTATTCAAATGAGTTCAAATTCATTAAATATCTCGAAACAAGAAATAGGTATATGACTTAGACCACTTTCATAATTATAGGCACATATCATTGCTCATTAATGGTAACGTTGGCTCCAGCCTCGGTTCTGAATATGAATCATTACAGAAAATGATTTGACGGTAAAAACGCGCTTCTTATAAATTGAAAGTGACCAAGTTTTGTTAAATATATTCAATACATACTAACACATATAATGATAATTATAATTATAATTTGGACATAATAAATTTTTGTGAGAATAATTGTCTAGTCTACATAAGAGGGCACTGAAGATTGTCTGCTGGCGATAATGTTCGCTACGTGACAATAACGGTAATAATTTAGATACGAAAATACACGTATTTATAAACATATCTGACTATCTCGTGCGCGTCTTTGTAAATGAGAGTTTCCAAATGAAATTAATCAAAGTAGTTGTGTAATTATTTTCGAGTGCTTAAAATGTTAGACAATTGCGTATAATTTTAATTAAATTTCCTAAATGAGCAAAACAAAAACAGAACTCATAAGTTGAATGCGATTATAATCTGAAACACAACTTCAATAGACGGCATACGCTTTAGGAATTGTTCTCGTATATTCGAAGCAGAAAATAAAGTAAAGTAAATGACAGAATACAGAATATTGCGCATTTAAACAGTGTCAGCAAATATAATAGCAGACTTTCTGTAATTGAAGTAATTATGGTATACTAGATAAGATCAAGCAATAAGTGTATATAAAAACTTGGAAAGTTTTTGAACCGCCTTTTTAACAAAAACATGTTTTTTGGAGTTATTTTTAAAGTCTGACCTGCTCACCGAAAAGTTTTAAATGAACGCTGAACTGGGCAACAGTAAACCGAAAGTATCCAATTCCGTACGTTTTACTAGATGGAACAAACCTAAGCCTGTGCGGAGACTTGTCCAAAATTAAATATGGGTCATTTTGTGTATGTTAGCTATGTATCTCATCTACAAAGCCGCGACGTTGTTATAATTTAAGTGAGTTTTGTCATTATCTCTCTTGAAATTTTAAAATAAATCCATGGCTGGAGTCAGTTACCTGCGACATTACTACAGACATACAAGTACATGTATGTACAGTTGTACACTTAAATAGAGAGCACTTTTATACTTCAAGAACTTTACATCATTTACCTTCGACCGATTATAAAAATGCGACGCGAAAGACCTGTGCGGCATATCGAATCCATACTTAATAGTTATATTATCTCATTAGTATTCGATAGTCGTAGCGAAACGCACAGTGTTTTAAAAATATGTAAACGAAAAGTGAAGCATACAACGCAGCGGAATTTCGAGGTGCCTAAAACGAGCTCTCTTTAGGAACGCATAACACCGGTAAATACGCGCAAAAACTTAATATTGTTCATTGTTCAAAAATACCAACTAGTTTAATTAGCTTTAACTTTTACATAACTACGAATTTCCAAAGGGAGCACCAATTCTTTTTATACCATATATTTGGCACTAAAGTCAAATGTGCTGTATATCGTATGTGTCTGTATGTGTATGTGTGTGTAAATGCTCGCCAATGCAATTAATTACTTTTAGTAACCTCAGCTCATCATCAGAATCGTCATTGTATAAGCACATAAATATTTAATTCCACTGCTTTAAGCATAATTGTACACTTTGTATTCATTGATTACTATCGTAAAGCATATTTGTATAAAATAGTGATAATATTGTAGGTACGCATGCGCAATTGCATCAGTTTATCACCTCTTTTTGCCGGCTGGCCACAGTTTGCATTGTGAATCCATCCATTTGTATGTCTACCAGACAGTATTGGGAACGCACTATAAGCTCAGTTGGGTCGTCTTCGTTCGGATGCGTAAGGAATTGTTGTTGGTCTAAGCATTCATCGAAATGTCCGAACTGGTGCAAAACGCCACTATTGATACCGACCGCAGATTTGGCCATTGCTCCATATACTGAAAAGGAATTCAAATATTCAAGTTAATTTTGAAATAAATTTTATTGATTGATTTTATTACAATTGAAACCGCACTGTGTTGCCATCTGAATTCACTTGAACCATTTTAATATCGTGGATTAGCAGTTCACAATTTATTCCAATAAATTGAAGAAGTTCCATAACTTAAAGGTCTAATTATTAAAATATTAGAAAAAGAAGCAAGTAAAACTTTCCCGAAAAAGTCCATGAACTGCTTTTGAATTTTATATAAAAAAAAAATTTGTTTCTTATTTTTTTCAAGTCAATAACTCCGAAAGCTAATTTTAAAAAGTTAAATACAGAACTTTCTACAATAACATGGCCTAATTATAATGGTGACATTGAATTGAGTGTCTCTCATTTTAATAACATTATTATGAAATTATTTGAAAAGTATGTTCCAATAGTAATTTTTAATAAAAATAAAAGTATAAGTCCGTGGTTTTCGAAAGAGTTATATAAATTGAAAAACAGAAAAACTCGAGCCTTTAAACATTTTAAAAAAACCGGTTCACTTGTCGACTATTCTAAATATTCTCTATTGCGTCGACAATATTTTGACCTAAACAAAAAATAAATAAATAATAATTACTTAAATAAAGTAAAAAAAAATATTTTAAGTAATCCAAAATCGTTTTTTGATTTCGTCAACTCCAAACGCAGGATTTCCAAATTTTCGTCCGCAATGAAATACAAATCTATCATTTCAAGTGACAATGATATTATATCCAATATGTTTGCAGAATTTTTCAAGTCAAACTACTGTAATAATTCTTCCAAAACTTTTTCTTATCAGCAAGTGCTGTGTTCGAATACTTTAATTAACGCTCCAATTATTTCTGAAGAAGACGTCCTTTTTAATTTAAATAAGTTAAAACCATCTTTTAGTTATGGCCCAGACATGATACCCTCATGCTTCCTAAAAAATAGTACCAAATATATTTACCTGCCTTTGACAAGGATATATAATTCCTCTCTTAAACACGGTATATTTCCTGCAATATGGAAACAGTCATTTATAATTCCTTTGCATAAAAGTGGATTTAGATCCAACATTGAAAACTATAGAGGTATCGCAAAACTATCAGTGATACCTAAACTTTTTGAAGCTATCATCACTGACCATATAACCTTTTCGATTTCTCCGTTAATTTCCTCATCTCAGCATGGGAGTTCGACTATAACAAACTTACTTGAATTTGTAAACCATGTATCATTGGGTTTTAGGGAACATAAGCATACAGATGTTATATACACAGACTTTAGCAAAGCTTTCGATAAAGTAAATATCTCGATTCTCATACATAAACTTGATCTGCTGGGCTTTCAGCCAAGATCCCTTCAATGGGTATCTTCCTATCTTTATAATAGAACACAACGAGTGATATTTGAGGATACACCTTCAGATACAATTAATGTTTCTTCAGGTGTTCCGCAAGGTAGTCATCTTGGTCCGATTCTGTTCTTGTTGTTTATTAACGATATCTCTTCAGTAATAGAATTCTCAAAAATTTTATTATACGCTGACGACGTAAAGCTTTTTGAATCATACACTTCAACTGAGGAAAAGTGTCTGTTGCAAACAGACTTAAACAATTTGGTTGCATGGTGTGATAGAAATGATTTGCCATTGAATCTCAATAAATGTAAGACGATGTGCTTTTCCCGTAGATCTGTGCACCCCTCTTCTTATGTAATAAAACACCATATTCTAAAGCAAGTTTTTAACTATTTTGATTTGGGAGTTAATATTGACCCTAAGCTTAATTTCAGTCTTCATATTGATACCATGGTCTTGAAAGCAAAAGCTGTCCTCAGTTTTGTTAAACGTTGGTCTAATTTAGAGATCCGTATATTACTAAAACACTTTATACAACTTTGGTTAGACCTATATTGGAATATGGCTCTGTGGTATGGAACCCTAGCTACCAAATCCATTCTGACAAGTTAGGGTCGGTTCAAAAACAATTTTTACTTTTCGCCTTAGCGCATTTCCGATGTGATGCTAGGGTAAGTCTACCTCCATACACTAGTCGTTTAAAACTTATTAATCTACCTACACTTACTAGTCGTAGGGAAATGCTTGGCATAATATTCTTAGTGAAACTTTTGAATGACACTGTTTGCAGTTCTTTTCTCCTGTCTGAAATTAAATTTAATATCCCGGTTCGCCTTTCGAGGCAGTTTAGACCTTTACTGCTAAAATCTTGTAGATCAAATTTTGAACTAAACGAGCCATTCCGCCGTATATGTCATGATTTTAATTCTCATTCCAGCACATTTGACTTATCTGACTCACTTTTCAAAATTAAAAAGACTATTGTTTTCTCTTAATAAAAGAAAATGTAACAATTTATTATATTGTAACTTTAGATCTTAGCTGTTGAAATTTTTGTTTCTGTAGCTGAGCAGTTTTAGATCTCAACACTTAAAAAACTCTCTTGCCTTTTCTGACTCGGCTAATTCCGCACGTATGCGGATTGCGCCCCTCGCGTCGGTTGGGCGGGAGGAGGGTAATCGTTGGGTTATTATTATTATTATTAATTATTAAAATATTAGAAGAAGAAGCAAGTAAAACGTTCCCGAAAAAGTCCATGAACTGCTTTTGAATTTTATATAAAAAAAATTAGTTTCTTATTTTTTTCAAGTCAATAACCCCGAATTTAGAATCGCTACTCTCACTTTTACCGGTTTAACTGTGTAAAAATGGTTAACTGCTTATCAAACTAATGCAAAGGTTAATTAAATTGTAAAAATATAAATATTTATCAATTTTGAGTAAACACAATTCATTATTTTTCTCACATAACTAAATGTTTGTGATGTATCGTCTAACAAGTTACGTGCTTTGTGTTATATTCTTACGTTGCATTACCTAACATGTCGTCAAAAATAAATCAATAACAGCAGGTAAGGAAGAACTAAGCTCGGACGCACACGAACACTTGATACTCTCTTCGTTCAAAAGAATTTAAATTCACACTACTTATGCGAGCGGTGACATAACCAACAAATTTTATAAAGATTCTCCCACAGTGTACCTATGCCAAATAGTATAACCTCTGCAAATTTCGTTGACATTTTCCCTAAACTGACTGACTTGTACTTGTATGTTACGAACCAAGATCCCAAATTCAGAGTATAAGTTTTTTTGGAGAGAATTGTCACATATCAATAGCTGTCACATGTTAATAACATCGGCGGGGCAATTTGTAAGGTATGAAAATGATCTTAAAAGGAACCGGTACCATTCTCGTTATTCTACATATTAAGGAACCTATATGTAGACCTGATATTTTATTATTAGATAATTATATCACAGATATTGAAGCTTCTAGGTTTTTTTTGGTTTCCACGTCGTAGCATTAGGCGGTGAAATGCAATATTTTCACCAAGTCACGCTCAAATTATCGTACATTTTACAGTTGACGTTTATTTGTATATGTACATAAGTATATATGTATGTATGTATATGTATGCCGCTTTCCTCTGTGGCGCCTTGTATCAAATATGTACATACGAGTATATGGTAATCATGAGTATTCAAGTTGAACCGCTCAAGAGTTATAACACTTTATATATTATAGAATAACACTGCTTTGTAGGCGTGGCAATAGTGAATAGGTGAACAAAACTATTTTGTTCTGAATATAAAAATTCAAAAGACTGCGCATGATGCGGTAAAAATTCCACGAAGCCAATATTACATTTATAAATTACAACTTAATAGGAATTCTATTTGCATATTATGTTTGTGCATAAAAAAGTATATATTATAACATTAAGTATAAGAAAACACACAATGTGTACTTAAGGTGTAGCCGAAGTATGTGGACACATGCTTATTTATTTTGAGGACAAGTGTTGTGGTCTTGTACCGGCATCTGCCTGATTGCTAACTGTGTAGACGCAGAACATCTGTCCGCCATGCAAAGCAGGGCTGCTGACACTTATTAGAGCAAATGAAATTGCGCAAGCGCAAGTGTGTCTATGAAAATGACTCAATCCAAATTCATGCCACGTAAAAAATTAAGCACAAAATCGCAAATTCAGACTACAACAACACATATATCTATGTATCTATGTACATCAAATGCGCTGATAAATATTTAACATGAGCATAGTTTTTAAGCCGCGTCGGCGTTCTTCGAAGCATTTAAAATTTGTATCGAACATAATAGAAATGCTTTTAGTTGTTATTTAGTAAATTTGCACACTTTTATTTTATTTTTTTGAATTGAATGATGAATTATACAGCGTCATACAAGTATATGTATGGGCTTATATATCATATATAATTATTTATCTATGTATGTATACACCGGGACACTGAAAACAGAAGCAAATGCGTTAATTCTAAGCATACAACTCGAAAAGTTTACTGTTTGCAAAACAAATGAATAATCAAGTATTCTATATAAAGCATTTTTTCGATAACAACAAGTTGTTGTTGTTTAATTTGCTGAGTCAACTTTACAACAACGACGAGATGATATGCTAAGGAAATAAAAAGGAGCAACGAAAAAAGTTCGCACGACAAAAAAAAGTAAAAATTTAAATGGTCATAAACAAACTTTAGTCAAGATAGTAGACCATCTAAGGACACGTGTTGGATATACATATGTATGTATAGTTGCTCGTGAAAATTTGGGCATTCGTGCCGGTTTGACCGGTACAGTGCGGATTCCGAGTTAAGCGTCCCGGCCATCCCGGGCTTAGAAAAAAAAAAATGAATTGAATAATATTGTGTTGCTTTCTCGCCTATTATATGTCGCGGTTTTCAGTGAATTATAATATGGAAAAAATCGATGACTAAAACAAAGCGTCTCGGATTTTGTCGGGACAAATATTCTAAGTACATATGTTTGAATGTGATCTATCAACAGAAAGCCAATTTCTATTTATTTATTTAAAATTTTTTGAGTGGAATGCCAAGAGCGTTAATCAACACATTTGTGGCTATTATTTTGCGAATAC